AAAAAAAAAAAAAAAGAATGTTGAAATCTAGCAGACACCTGGACTCTCAGATCTACTTGAGGTGATTTTTTTTTCTTTGTGTGACCTGTGCCACACATAATCCCAACTGTGTTCTCTTCTAAAAGATAACCTCCTAGGGGTTGGGGAGATGGCTAAGCACTTGCCATATAAGTGCAACCCCCAAAACCCATATAAAAAAACCACAGACACTTCAGTGCATGCCTACAATCCCAAAACTTCAGAGGCAGAGATAGGAGGACCTCTCAGGATTGTTGGCTAGCCAATCTAGCCAAATTGGTGAGCTCCAAGTTCAGGGAGAGATCCTGTCTCAAAACACAAAGTGGAGAGTGATTGAAGAAAACATCCAACATTGACTTCTGGCCAGTGTGCATGCAGGCCCAAGTGCATAGACACAAATACATATACACTAAAAATAAAATATGGCCCTTTAAAAATGTATAAGTCAAGCCAGATGGTGGTGTATGCATTTAATACCAGCACTCAGGAGGTAGAGGCAGGCGGATCTCTGAGTTCAAGGCCAGCCTGGTCTACATAGCAAATTGCAGGACAGCCAGGATTATTACGCAGAGAAACCCTGTCTTGAAAAAAACACACAAAAAATTATAAATGAAGCTAGGTATGATAGCACATGCCTATAATACCAGCACTTGGAAGATGGAAGCAAAGAGATTAGAAGTTCAAGGCCATCCTTGGATACATAGCAAGTTGAAGGCCATGTGAGACCTTTTCCTAAAACAAAACAAAAGTGTAAATATAATTCTTACCATAAGCCTATGCAGAATCAGGCAATTTACTTCCCTTTCTTCCTTTTTCATTTTGAAACAGGTTCTCAACTCACCCCTCCCAAGTGCTCAGACTGTAGGCACATACCAATAGGCTGTCTTTGAAAAACAAAAACAGTAGGTGCCATGTCGGGCGGTGAAGGTGGCAAAAAGAAGCCCCTGAAACAGCCCAAGAAGCAGGCCAAGGAGATGGACGAGGAAGATAAGGCTTTCAAGCAGAAACAGAAGGAGGGGCAGAAGAAACCCGAGG